AGGGCCCCACACTTATTTAAATACAAGGTGCTTTCTTGTATCTGGGATACCACTGTAGGGACCTATGTGAGCAAAGTTCAGAAGTGGCTGCTACCAGATTCTGGCAAGAATAGCCACATGGGATCCTGGACCCTCCATACAACCTCCACTGTTGGTGCAGCAGATCTCTCCTGTCTCACGCTCCGCTCTTCCTCAGCAGTGTATTTCAGTCAGTCTGCCTGTTCCGCCCCACTCTCTCTGGTGAATCCTCTCATCCCTCACACCACTGGTCCATACCAAAGTTCTTATTGGGTAAATAAAAACAAAGAAGTCTTATAAAAAAAAAAAGAAAGAAAAGAAAAAAGATATAAGTTTATATAAGTTTTGGGGAACAGGATCGAGGACAAAGGAGGGACCTATGTGAGCAAAGTTCAGAAGTGGCTGCTACCAGATTCTGGCAAGAATAGCCACATGGGATCCTGGACCCTCCATTCAACCTCCACTTATTTTAGGTGATCATCTTCAGAGACACCAAGAAGGGGTCTTTCATGAGTGTCATGGAGACGCCCCAAGGAGCTGTTAGGAATGGAATGGTGTCCATGGAGGGGCTGCAAGTAAGCAAGCACACCCTGTTTTAGTTTTCTTTAGGGCTATAGATCAGGAGATGATTGAGAGAATAGTTGGTTACTCACAGGTTTCGTTTCAATAGGAGTGGATGATGTGCTACAGGGCCATGTGGATTGGCCAGAGGCCAAGGGAGAGAGGGAAATTTATTGTGTGTTTACATGTTTTTAAAAGTTTATTTATTTATACAAGAACTGGGGTACAGGCCAGAGGTGTGGGGGGAAGGGGAAGGCATGAGAGGATTCACCAAAGACAGGGTAGGGAACAGAACAGAACAGGAAGATTGACTGAAATACACTTCTGAGGGGAGCAGTGGGCAGGGCAGGAGAGGTCTGCCACGCCATGTGGGTCACCCCCCTGGCCAGGGATTGAACTTGTGCTGTGATGGCTGCGGATAGCTTCATAATGTGGTGCTTTAACCCATTGTGCCACCAGGGAGAGCCCTTTATTGTGATTTCTGAGGGGAGGAGTAGGCAAGATGGAATGAGCGGGCCCAGGCTTGACTAGTTTGAATAATTTTGGTGGGCTCTGTAGCTTATGGGTGTCCCAATATGAGAGCCCCATAAAGGAGGTGGTTAGAAGTTGGCTTGAAAAGTACACTCTCAGAGTGCTATCTCTAGGAACTGACTAATCTTGGAAGAGTCAGCCCTCCAAGGTCAGCAAGACTCCAAATGTCAAAGCATCAGAATACAGAAAATAAAAGGCATGATTTGTGCTTGCACTATGTAAAGTCCTATCTTTACATTTTTTATATGGAACGGTGGGCTCATAATACAAACACCAGCGGTTGAGAAAAGAAAGAAACTGTTGCAAATTGATAGGCAGGAAGGCAGGAGGTAAATTCAGATTTTCTTCCTTGGTTAAGAAAGGGAATATAGGAGCCTCCCTGTTGGTGCACAGATCTCTCCTGTCTCACGCTCCGCTCTTCCTCAGCAGTGTATTTCAGTCAGTCTGCCTGTTCCGCCCCACTCTCTCTGGTGAATCCTCTCATCCCTCACACCACTGGTCCATACCACAGTTCTTATTGGGTAAATAAAAACAAAGAAGTCTTACAAAAAAAAAAAAAAGAAAGAAAGAAAAGAAAAAGGATATAACTTTATATAAGTTTTGGGGAACAGGATCGAGGACAAAGGAGATAAATTTTATTGGCTAGGGAGTGGGTGAAGGAGAGAAAATGTGGAATTATCTGAAGCTCATTGCCTAATTACAGGGCATTCCTTACATGAAATATCTAGTTTTTCTTCAGATACTGAAATTTTTAATTGCTGTTAGTGGTCTCCTTGCCTCTTGGTAGCAATGTGTTATATCTGTGTTTCCCAACCCAGTTGGCTGGGACTCAGCTCAAGGTTAGTTGCTTGTATGCCTGCTCAGGTTGCATCATTTGTTGATAAGCCTCCAAATTCTGCTCTATTGCAAAAGTAAGTCTCAGAAATGACCCACCATTGCAGCAGACCTCTCCTGTCTCGCCTCCTCAGCAGTGTATTTCAGTCATTCTGCCCGTCTGTTCCCCACTCTGTCTCTGGTGAATCCTCTATACCCCAGCTCTTGTACGAATCAGTAAATAAATCTGTTTTTTTTTTATTTTTAAAAAGTAAGTCTCAGAGAAAAAATAGATGCTTTTTTTCTTTTGTGCGCTAGTATCTGAGAACAAGGTAACCTCAGTTACATTTGGGGTGGCATTGTATTTATTTTCATTTTTCTGTTGAGGAAACTAAGACAAAGAGGAGGGGGGCGGTCACATGACTGAACTTGTGCAGTTAAGAAAAGGAGAAACTGTTGACTGAAATAAAAGTTATTGAAACTTCACTGAGACGTATATTGAGACCATAGTCGTTAGACAAAGAGTTTATTAGGTAATCAAAGTAGGATTTGAACCTGGGAAGTAGTCTGACAGATTTTACTCTGTGATAGCTGTTTCAATAATCACTAAGTTTAGTTTAGTTTATTTAGAAAGGAACAGTGAATCACTGATGTTAAAAAAAGTATATATATTTGACAGCTCAGGGTCGGGGGAGGAGAACAGTGGTATGGGAAACTTGTTTTTTTCTAGGTTTAGATCTTCCAATTTCCTAAGTTGTCTTGACATAAAGATTTATTGATGCTATTTATGTGCATAAAAGGGCAAATGTTAGGGTTTAAACACTTCCTTAACTTTAACAAAAAGATTTATTTATGTATACAGAACTGGGGTACAGATAAGAGGTGTGGGGGCAGTGAGAGGATTCACCAGAGACAGAGTGGGGAGCAGAACAGACCGACAGAGAAGTACATTGCTGAGGGGAGCAACGGGCAGGTCAGGAGAGGTCTGCTGTGCCATGTGGATCACCTCCAGGGCGGGGATGGAACTCATGCTGAAGTGGCTTTCACTTCTTAGTGCTGTGCTTTAACCTGCTGCGCCACCAGGGAGGGCCCACTTCTTTAATTTTTAAGATTGCACTGTTAAGGCAGTGTATAGATGGTCTAAATCTTTATGTAGTTCTTTGGTCATTAGTGGGGGTTTAAAGCTGGTTTACCTGCAGGCAGCAGATTTTTGCATAGATGCTTCATAGAACAGGGAAGAGCAGGTTGTGACTTCAAGTCTATGTGGGTGGTTTTGCTCTCTTGCCTGCTAGATCAAAGAGGGGGTGGTTCCCAGAGCTTATATGAAATGTTCACAAACTTGGATTGAATCATAACTGAATTCATCTTCCTTCTGTCTGGCAAACTAAAGATACTTATTGTCAAGTGCTGGCTAGGATGTGATGTCACTGGAACGTTCTTATCTTCTGGTGGGAGTGTGGATTGGGAAAACTGTTTTGGAAACACTGGCAGTATCTACTAAAGCTAAATGTATATGTTCCCTACCACCCAGCAATTCCAGGGTTTGGTGTCTATCCAGCAGAAATGAGAACACAGGTACACTGAAAGACACTGACAGGAATGGTCACAGCAGTTTATTTTGTGATTTCTAAAATCTGGAGATCCCTCAAATGTCTAACAGGAGAATGGGTAAATTAGTGTAACTTCCCCAAACAATGGATTACATACATCTACGAGAATGAATGAAACATTGCTGCACAGACATGAATGACTCTCCTAATGTTCACCAAAAGAAGCAGGAAGAAAAGAGGAACCACTCTCATTCCATTTATATTGAAGTTCTAGGACAGGCAAAATGGATCAAAGGTAATGGCAGTTAGAATTATGGTTATATTTGGGGGTGGAGGCTGTTACTGAGGGGTTGGTGGCAAGATACAGGAGGGAGCCTTTTGGGAAGATGGGAATATTCTCAAATTTAATCTGGGTGGAGGTTGCAGGATACACACTCATACACCTATGTGTGTATATGTATCTCAAATTATTAACCAATGTACTTAGGATATGTGCACTTTATAGATATGTGAGTTATTCCTCAATAAAAAAGCAGCTCCCTGCTGTAACTGCATGTATGAACTTTTGGGCTCCTATTCTCACAAGACCCAGTGTGGCCAAGAACCTGATGTTTTAGAGGATAGGACCTGGCTGTTGAGTCCCAGCCACTACCCTCATCCTCCACCCCCTAGTCAGCAGGCTGATTTGCATGCCTTCTTGTGGTCCAGCAGCCTCATGCTCTAAAACACTTGGAACTAGGTGCAACAGAGCAACTACACATGCCTGTCTCCCGGCCTCTAGGCATGGCCTCCTGGTGTCTGATCTCCCTTTGGACTGGGGCTGTCCTAACAGGTGAGCCCTCTCTGGACATGTGTCTCCTGGGTGTGGGATGGAGGACATCACTGGCTCCAGAAGGCCCCTGCAAGGCAGCAAACTGAAGTGGGTAGTAAAAGGATTCTGGTAGGGGGACTGAGGAGGGGAGTGCAGAATTGGCTACTGTCAACTCTGCCCTAGACCTGGGGCGAATCACTTCTTGGTGTGAGCCTTAGTTTCCATGTTTGTAAAAGACCAGATAGCTATGGTCCCTCAGAATTCTGACTCTGGGGTCTCAGAGGAGATGAGAGCTGGTCATTTCATGAGTGTTTCATAAAGGGACTTGATGTGGGTTAGTCCTGACTCCACATGGCCTCAGGGACAATATAACTCCAGCGACCAGTTGATTGAGATTAAGCTGATGGGTGGTACTGCTTCCAGGGATGGTTTGTCTGTAGCAGGAATTGAAAGAGCCGGTTTGACCAAAGGGATAAGGGATCTGAAGGGTAAAGGGTGGAGCTGGGCACCCTTGGAACTCTAGACCTTTACATAAAAATGGATCCTTGGGAACTTGGCACTAATGGGGACCTAGGGATAGCCAGATCTGTGTCCCAGCTGTTACTGATTCATGTCACTAGGTGATAAAATCTTTGGGAGTCAGTCTCCTTGGAATCTGACAAAGACTTTGAGGGGCTGCAGCAGGAGGAAAGGAACCCAGATCAGGCCTGAGATATATGTCTTTTTCAGTCTCCCAGCCAACCCTGGCGCAGCCGGATGCACTGCTGGTCTTTCCAGGCCAAGTGGCCCAACTTTCCTGCAGGCTGATACCCCACAACACCCCCATCAGGGATTATACAGTGTCTTGGTACCAGCAGCGGGCAGGCAGTGCCCCCCGTTACCTCCTCTACTACCGCTCAGAGGAGGACCACTATCGGTCCCCTAACATCCCTGACCGCTTCTCGGCAGCCAAAGATGAAGTCCACAACATGTGCATCCTGACCATCAACCCTGTGCTGCCTGAGGACGACGCAGATTATTACTGCTCTGTGAACTACAAACTCTAGGGGTGGGATTTGGGTTGGATGTCTACTGTCTGCCTCCTATTTCTGCCCCTTGCTTCGGACACCTCTTTTTCTGAGCCTTGATTTTCCGCCTCTGTAAAAATGAGTTAATGATATTCAACAAGTAAATGATAATTATCCCAAAGATTATGAAATCCTTGATGAAAAAGTGACTATGCTTCATCTGAGAGTGGATGTGTGTGTGTGTGTGTGTGTGTGTGTGTGTGTGGAGGGGGTTGGGGTTGAGGGATTTTGCAGAAGAGGAAGCACCTGAGACCCTGGGGTGGGGCTCAGCCTCCTCATTGGCCCCAGGGGGCTCAAATTGGTGACCTGGCCTTCCTGTGACCTGAGGAGTTGTAGGGAGAGAAAAAGGAACCGGTCCTTTGTTCTCCCATCTCCCAGCTCCGCATGACTGGTTGTGGTACAACGCTTACTGGTTACTGAACTGGGTCCTAGAGGAGCTCAGACTGCTACCTACTCCTTGAGGGGGCAGGGAGGCAGGTGGGTGGGTGGGTGGTGGGGGCACTCAGAGTGACCTAAGGACTCAGAATAGGCAGCATCTATTCTCTCCCATTCCTGTGTTCTACTGTCTCCTGTGAGAAGACTGGGCCATCAGAGAAGGGGGAGGGAGGCAAATCATGCCATCATAAGTAGGCTTGGTTTTCTAAAAGGGTTCTAGAACACATCCCTTTTCCCTTACATCTATTAAAGAGCTTCATGTCTAGAGATGATCCCTCAATGCAGTGTTGGGAGTCTCTAGGGACCAACAAGGTTATCTTAAATACACTCAACCAACTCCTGGGCCCTCATGGGGAAGAAGGGAGGGTGAATCCCAATAGCCTTCCTGGGGTTATATGGGGTGACGTCTTCCCAGCTCTGGAACCCCTTGTTCTTCTCCGGAAGACTCCGTGGCCACTGGCTTATCCCCACCAACAGGGCAAATTGCCCACCTCCCAGGGGCTCTAGGCCAGTCTGCCCCTCCCGGCCTGTTTTCTCCTCCACGCCCGCCAACGCATGCCAATTCTGTTTCCCAAGTCTGGATACGCTTTGAGGGAAGCCTGAAGTTGTGCTAACACTAATTCCAGCCTCAGCGCCCAGCGGGTTACTCCCGGCACCGTCCCGCGCCGAAGTACCACCGAGACGCAGAGACCTCCGCGCGGACTAGAGCGGTCCCGGAAGTGCCCGCGGGCGGTGGGCGGGGCTCCGGGCGCTCGGGC